GCTTTATACCTCATAGGTCAAATATATAAGTTTACTTGCTCTGCTTTTTCAATAAAGATGCCTATTTTAATTATTTAATAAATTGGCTTTCTATAATATAATCAAGGTCTCATATAAATTAAGTTATATGAGAAGCAAATATTTTTATAAACAATTGGTACTAGTAAAAGTCAAAGTAAAAATTTACATACACCCTACAAGCAAGTCCTCTGAAATAGTTCCTGAGACCTCCCATAATTACTTTGTGCATGCAAATGAACACTAGTCAAAAAGAATACTGTTTAAAAGTAAATTTGAAACCTAATAAAAAGGAGAAATTTTTAAATCTCTTCTGTTACTATTTATAGGGTGAGCTGAAGGTTATCATTCAAGCATTAAATTTGATCATTAATCAGTCAACATAAATAGAGTCACTTAAAATATATGCATGGCAGTATGAGCCAGCATCTGAAAAGCAACCAAATGTATTGCTCAGTTTAAAAGAAAGAAAAAAGGTTTTTAAAAGAAACTCCCTAAATGAGGCCTAGAAATTACTCTGGGAAAAAACAAAGGGAAATGTCCTTCAAATATGTAAAAAACTGTAATTAAAAGTTAATGTATTAGGCCTCAAAAATAAAAGAATTTGCATTTTTGCTTCACTAAGCAAAGCTTATATAGATATACTCAAAGACTGATAGCAGAAATTCAATTAGTGTCATTTACTGTCCATACCCAAGGACAAATAAAGTTAGAAAATAAGCCTTATTTTAGACTGATTAAAATTGGCAAATTGAAATAAGTCAATATTCAGGGAAACTTAATTATACTAAGCAGGCAACTGTTCCTAGAGCATTAACTATTTTTTATCGATAGTTCATTTCACAGTTAAAGCTGCTTAACAAGCAATTAATCCAGAAAAGTCATACTTCTGTACTAAGAATTAAATTAAAAGCTATCAAGGCTGCATTGCAGGATTTCCAAAAGCCTCTTAATATTTTTTTAAATGGGGTGGGGGGAGATAGTGGAGCAATATCCTGTAAGAAAATTACATCAAGCCTTAATTACTTTAAATTTTTTCACTTGTAATGCTGATGGCAAGACACATACAGTGTCAGAATAAGCCAAAGGAAAATACTTTGGGCAAAATGAAAAAATCCAGAGTCTAGTTTATAGAAGGATTCCTTTATTAACCTTTGGTTGAGAACATGCTTATAGATTTCCAGAAAACTCCTCCAAACCCATGTGGATTCCTGCAACAATGGATCTGAGAGAAGAACTGACCAGACTACTCCAGCCCCATATAGCAGTGGTCCCAACCAACATGAGACAGAGGAAAACCAGTCCAGAGATGGGGGATCGTGAGAATGCCTTGCCATACTAGCAGTCATTAGTTGTGCATCCCTGCAGGTTGCCCAGGACCAAGCCAAAAAAGGTCAGACCTGCATTGTCATTGCTCACCATCCAGAATTATAGTATCATTGTTGTCATGTCACAGGGGACAGTGATTGAGAAGGGAGCCCATAAAAAACTGTTAGACAGTGATTGGAAAGGGGACTCAAAGAACTGTTGGCTCAAAAAGAAACTTATTACAGATGGATTCATTTGATGCCTGTCAGCAATTTAAAAGGACAGGAAAAAACTCAATCCTTCTTATTGAATATAAAAATATTAAAAGGACCCGAGCTCTGTAAATGGCATACATTCTTGCTAAATTAATTAAATCAAAAAGGGGGATATGTTGGAAGCTAAGTACAGTAGTTAGCATAATAAATGCAAGAAGTTTGTCAGAAAGCTGATGAACAGCTTCAGCAGGGCTGAAGATCTGCATATTATTACCTGCTGCCAAACAGCTGAGGGTAATTCCCCTAACCCAGTGGTTGGCAAACTGTGACTTGTGAGCCATATGTGGCTCTTTGGCCCCTTGAGTGTGGCTCTTCTACAAAATACCACGTGCGGGTGCACACATACAATGTGATTGAAACTTCGTGGCCCATGAGCAGAAGTTGGGTTTCGGCCTGAGCGAGTCTATTTTGAAGAAGTGATGTTAGAAGAAGTGGAGGAGTCAATCATATGTGGCTAGTGAGCTGTGGTTTGCCAACCACTGCCCTACTCTTTTTTGTTTTCCAAACCTTACCTTTGATATGTAATATCTGCTTTGCTAAAGGGAAAAACATGTTAATAAAAAGCCATGGATCTGGAGATTTGGGGAACTTAGTCACTAGAGTTAAATTTCCATCTGGCTCCCACAAAATGCCTTCCAAATCTATACTTCTTATCTAGTCTCTATTCATTTATGTGCAGCCCATCTCCAAATTCCTAAACCCTTGCTGCAAAAATACTGCGGCACCAGGACCCTTCAGTCTGCAAGTCGATGCTCTCTCCACTGAGCCAAACTGGCTAAGGCCCATTGCCCATTTTTAAATTCCTTGTGTTGAGTTGTATAGATTCTTTATATATTTTGGAGATTAACCCCTTATCTGATGAATCGTTGGCAAATATGCTCTCCCATACAATGGGCTCTCTCTTCATTTTGTTGATGGTTTCCTTTGTTGTGAAGAAACTTTTAGTCTGATGTCAACTCATTTGTTTGTTTATTTTTCCTGTGTTTCCCTTTCCGTTGGAGACATATTGAAGTGTCTTTATATTTTAGAAATACACGTTGAAATATTTATTGATGAAAAGATATGATATCCATCCTGGCTGGTTTGCTCAGTGGTTAGAGTGTCATCCCAAGGACTGGACGGTTGCAGGTTTGATTCTCAGTCAAGGGCACATACCTCAATTGCAGGTTTAATATCTGACCAGGGGAGGATGCATGAGAGAAGCAAGCAATCAATGTGTCTCTCACATCAATGTCTCTCTCACTTCTCTTCCTCCCCCTCTCTAAAAAAAATCAATGGAAAAATATCCTCAGGGGAGGATTAACATATAAACAAACAAATGAACAAATCCTATATAATAAAGAGGTAATATGGAAATTGACCATCACTCCAAAACACAGATGGCCACCCCCACGTGGTCAAAGATGGCCACCCAATATGGACACAAAATGGCCACCACAAGATGGTCTGCAGGGGAGGGCAGTTGGGGATACCAGGCCTGTAGGGGAGGGCATTTGGGGGTGACCAGGCCTGCAGGAGAGAGCAGTTTATGAATGACCAGGCCTGCAGGGGAGGGCAGTTAGGGGCAATCAGGACGTCAAAGGAGGCCAATTAGGAGCAACCAGGTCGGCAGGGGAGCAGTTAGGCATCAATCAGGCTGGCAGGGGTGTAGTAGGGAGTGATAAGGCTGGCAGGCAGAAGTAATTCAGGGTAATCAGGCAGACAGGTGAGCCTTTCGGAGTCAGCAGTCCTGGATTGTGAGGGGGATGTCCGACTGCTCATTCAGGCCCAATCTCATCAGGATCGGGCCTAAACAAGCAGTTGGACATCACTCAAGGGGTCCCAAATTGGAGAAGATGCAGGCTGGGCTGAGAGACATACCTCCCCCTGCCAGGGCACAAATTTTGTGCACCAGGCCTCTAGTAAATAAATAAAATAAAAGACATAATGTCTAGGATTTGCTTCAAAATAATATGGGAAAGGAAAGAAATAGGCAGATGATAAAAGTGACAAAATATTGACCATGAGCTAATAGTTATGGAACTTTGGGGATGGACACAGGATAGATAGTTCAGTATACTCTGTTCACTTATGAATATATTTGACATTTTACATGCTTTTCTAAGTTGCTAATATTTTGACTCGAACTAATTTTCTAATTTGTATCCTATATAATAATAGTGTAGTATGCAAATTGTCCCCTCAACTGGAAGTTCTTCTGGGAGTTCTACCAGGGAGTGGGGCCAGCCGGGGGAAAGGAGGGAGGCTCCAGCTGGTACCACCAGCATCTAGGTGCCCTATCAGTGCACAAGTTGTGTGCACTGGGCTTCTAGTAGTTTATAATACTAAGTTTCTTAGATGTTTCATTATAATAATGTGAAATATAATTAAGTGATGACTTAAGTTGCCTTTAAAACTAAATATTGTGGATATTATACTTTAAATACTTACTAGATTTTCATATCAACTATAGTCTGACATGATTTTAATGTTTAGATAGAACCATCTCTAATATTTAAAACTTTTGCTAAAAGAATGGGCTTCCTAGGAATTGTGTTAGATAGATCAGGGTCTGTATCAGCCCTTCCTATATCATAAATACTGGAACTGTCAACCTTTATTTTGTGTATTTACAAATATAAGTTGGAAAAAATTGATAATCAGTTAATTGATCAGTGATCTCAAAATGGCTTGTTGCTACCTTTCCTAGTGTACAGTGATAGTCACAAAAAGACGCTGTGAGTTCCAGTTGTGTTGCACCAGGGAAAGTAAAGTAGAATTGATTCCACACATACTCAAGATTGGAATTCTGCAATTCTCTTTCTTTATGACAATCAGATGACTTAGAATGGAGATTTGGATCATAAAAGAGTTCTGAAGATTAAGCTTTAATGTAGGGCTGAGGACTCCACATGGAATGTTGCCTATTGGGAATTGTATTCTAAATTTGACTATACTCACTCATCAAATTCTGGGACTCGGGGTGAGAAAAATGGGGAGTTATCATTGGGTACAGATTTCACTATGGGGTGATGAAAAATTCTAGATATGGTTAGTGTTTTGTTTTGTTTTGTTTTTTAATATATTTTATTCATTTTTTACAGAGAGGAAGAGAGAGGATTAGAGAGTTAGAAACATCGATGAGAGAGAAACATTGATCAGATGCCTCTTACACACCTCCTACTGGGGATATGCCCGCAACCAAGGTACATTCCCTTGACCTGAATCGAACCTGGGACCCTTCAGTCCGCAGGCTGACGCTCTATCCAAACCAGCTTCAGCTAGATATGGTTAGTGTTGATGATTGCATAGCATGGGAACATATTTAATGTCACTGAATTTTACATTTAAAATGCTTAAAATGGTAAAATTTATCTTAAGCTTATTTAGACAAAATTTTAAAAATTAAAAACTACTCACATTAAATCCTGAAAGATCAATGGCAATGGCAGGTCCATCATCCCTGTCACCTTTAGGTGCAATCTGATTAAGCAGATGAAAATAGGCTCTTGAATCCTTCAAGGAAAGAAATGAAATAGAATTTTTAAAATGAATAAAATCATTGTTGGTTTTAGGGGAAAAGTGCTCAAACTTAAGAAATAATCCTCATCTCAAAGAATGGAATAATAACTATTAACTTTACTTATTATTTTATGCATTCCTCAATCACTGCTATTTTGCATTCCAGAGCAACAATATTCACTACACTGGAATACCCTTCCCTACCTTTCTCATTTGTTTACACCACCAAGCATTAGCATCAGTTAAGATTAGGGTTAAGTATTACCTTTCAGAAGCCTTCCTAGATTCTGTTAGAATGTGACCACATTGTAATAAATTAATCAATTAAGTCATATCCAAAGATGGCTATCATAATTCTTCCCTGTGCATATATATATATATATAGCTCCTCCAATTAAAAGGCAGCCTATTCGCATTCCCCTTTTACTTAGTCTGTACTTGTGACCTGCTTTGACCAATAGAATGCAGTTAAAGTGGTGTGCTGGGGCCCCAAGCACAGCCTGAAGAGCTTTTGTGTGGGTCCTCTTGAACTCAGCTTCCACATCACAAGTCCAAAGACTGAAAAGCAATGATTCACTAGACATGTGATTGGTGCCCTTGCCACATTCTGGGCCAGCCCAACTCTCACTGAATAAAATTAGTGAATTATTAGACTAAATAAGTGAATTTGGCGATATAGCAGGATACAAAATTAATGCCAAGAAATATATGAAAAGACTATCATGAGGGGAGAAAAATGGTGGAAAAATAGACAGTTGTGTTTCAACGTACATGCCCTTGACTGGAATAGAACCCGGGACCCTTCAGTCCCCAAGCCGACGCTCTATCCATTGAGCCAAACCGGTCTCGGCTGACAGTTGTGTTTCAAGCCTTGTCCTAGAGCAGCTGAAGGTCACATAGGGAGTGTTTGTTGGCAAGATAAGGGACAGATAAACTCCAGTAGAAGGTGGGATTCCCCTGACTGGGAAGATGCTACAGCAGCTTGGTCCTCTCCTGGAGCTACAGGCTCAGACAGGGAAACCACGCCATCTTGAAGGGGAAGGTTGATCTTATTGAAAGCCTGAAAATTCACAACTGCAGCAACCACTGAAAAGCTGGGAGCCCCAGAACACCTATTCCCAATCATTGCAAACATGCAGATTTAAGGGAGCTCTTCACTCCACCGCAGAAGGTCAGATTTTGCTGGGGATAAGGTGAGGTAAAAAATAAAGGAATATGAGAAATTAAGACACCACCTGCTTAAAAATCAGGACTGGCTTACAACACTGAGGAGCAGTGGAATGCAGGGAACTGCAATATTGTCCTAACTGGGAAACAGGCATGCCAAACAAAACAATAGAGGAAGTGAATGACCTTCACTACTATACATTTTTAATTTTTATTTTAATTTTAAATTTTTTGCATCTTTTACTTAAGAAACTATTTTTTTCTTTTTTCATCACTTGATTTTACCTTTTTAATTTTTACATTTTTATTTTCAATCAGCATTATTGCTACTGCTATTTTACCTTTTTCTTTTTCTAAGTGCCATTTTATTTATTCTTTATTTTACTTTCAGATTAGTGTTCTACATTCTATTTTCATCTTTCCTTTAGCATCGTCTTACCCTATCTCAACTCTACCTTTATGTCATCACTCTCTTCCTAACCTTTCCCCTTTTTGGTGTCCTATTTATCTTAACTCTTTCCTTCTTTAGATTTTTCCTATTCTTTAATTTACTCCCTTCTAAAAATTCACCCTACTTATATACAATAATTTCCAATCCCCTGCTCCAAGTCCATACACACCTTTCTCTTCGTTGTCTTAACTATCCAAAAATTGTTTTTCTCTCAGTCCTTTTGTTGTTTGCTTTAATGTTGAATAAACCAAATTTTTATGCTTTATCATGAGATTGTTTTAATTATTCTTTTTGTTTGTTTGTTTTTATTTGTTCTTACTTCTATTTTCCCTTACCTTGCTTCATATTAGTTGATATTGTAGTTTATATTAATCTCCAGATACTTGTTGCTGGCATTTTCTGGGAATAGTTGTTGTTCTACTGGAGTTTTCTCCCTATATACATGGTTTGTTCCCCTTTACTTTCTTAGTCTCATTCTTTTCTCACTTACTTTTTTCCCCCTGTATCCCAATTTCATTTTAAAACTCCTCTTTTTTCTTTTATTTTCTGTCTTCCTTTTTAATCTTCTTTCTCTCCTATCCCTTATTTAACTTTCTCTGTTGGTCACCTTTATTGGATGTTATTAATATTGTGAATACATTTCTGTTAAGTACCTTGTGTATTGTACCTGGTTGTGTTGTATTTTGTGCCTTTAAATCAACAAAGAAGGAGAAGATCCAAGATGGCTGCTCGGGTAGACACCTAACCACAGCAGCACACAACAATTTCAATGGAATACAACTAAAATGTAGAGTGGACATCGCCCAGAGCTACAGGTAGTTGACTGACTGAAAATTCTACAACAAGAAGGAAAGAGAAAACCAGAAGGAAAATCAGAGGAGCTGAAAAAAAGCCCAAGGTACAGAGACATGCTGCGCGCCGCACGCAAAGAGGTCGCAGCCAGAGAGGAGGAGAGGGCAGGGTGCTGCCTGGCATTCCCTAGCAGGAAGAAAATAAACCCCCCAGCCTGGGCTGAACCCCCGAACCGGCAGTGCTGACCCCCAGTTATGAGCCAGACCCTGGGGACCCAGGCTCCAGCAGGGGAGATGGGGCTGTGAGGCGGAATCCCAAGCGAGCAGCGAAAAGCAGGGCCCCCGGAGTCGCGCGCACATTGTGCACAGAGGACTGAATATTGACTCTGATGCTGGATTACCCTAGCCGGAAGAAACAAAGCCTCCGGGGGCACTGAGCCTCAGTCCGGACTGCTCTGAACCCCAGTCCTGGACCAGACCCTGGGGACCCAGGCTCGGGCAGGGGGAGACGGGGCTGTGAGGCAGAATCTCAGGGGAGTGGCGAAAAGCAGAGCCCCCAGAGTCGCGCGCACTGCGCGCAGAGGACAGTCTGTTGACTCTGATCCTAGACTCCCCTAGCGGGAAGGAGAAAAAAAAGCTCCAGACTGGAGGAATGTGACAGGGAGCAGGAGCCCCTGCCGGACACCAGCCAGCCGGGCGCCGGCAGGGAGTCGGGCGATGGGGCCCCCAGGGGGGGGGGTGCCCCTGAGCCATCGACCTCTGAGCTCAGGCAATGGAGCCAAGGCCGGGGGCTGCTTCCTGGGTGGCGCCAACCCCGGCAACAGGCTGGAGCAGCGCGGGAGCCCGCGGAGAACAAAGGGGTGCCACAGGCCAACCTGCTGAGCTCCCAGGACAAGGAGGTCGAAACCAAAGTTCTCAATGTGAAGAAATCAAGTGAGAGCAAAAGATAGTAAAATTACTTAAGAAAGAATACAAAGAAGATCTTGAAAAATCAAAGACTAAGTCAGAACTCAACTCACCAGCCAACATTGCAACATAAATGAGTTTAAAAAAAAAAGACAGAATGTTGGAACAGCGGCGGCCAGGCCTAGAGTGCCCAGGCACAAAGCAATGGCAACCGGGCCCGGAGCAGCAACGGCCAGGCCCCAGAGCAGCAGCAGCCAGAACCAGAGCAACAACAGCCAGCACTGGAGCAGCCAGACCTGGGGCAATGGCAGCCAGGCCTGAGGCGGAGGCAGCCAAGCCCAGGGTGGCCAGTCCAGGAACACCCAGACCCGGAGAAGCCGGGCCCAGAGCAGCCAGGTTGGGAGCAGCCAGGTCCAGAACAGCAGTAGCCAAGCCTGGAGCATCCAGGCTGGGAGTGGCCAGACTCGGAGCGGCCGGGCCCGGGGCAGCTGGGCCCAGAGCAGCCGGGTCTGGTGTGGCCAGGCCCGGAGCAGCAGTTGCCAGGCTGGGAGCGGCCAGGCCTGGAGCAGCCGGGTCTGGTGCGACCAGGCCCAGAGCAGCAGCAGCCAGGCTGGGAGCGGCTAGGCCCAGTGCAGCAGCTGCCAGGCTGGGAGCGGCCAGGCCCGGAGCGGCCGGGCCAAGAGCAGCCAGACCCAGAGCAGCCGGGTCGGGTGCGGCCAGGCCCGGAGCAGCAGCAGCCAGGTCCAGAGCAATTAGGTGGGAGTGGCAGTGACCAGACACAGAGCAGCTGGTTGTGGAACGAACCAGAGCAACAGAGGCCAGGCCCAGAGCAGCCAGGCCCGGAACAGCTCGCTCCTTGCCTGCCCCTGCCCCACGGCTGCCTCTCAAACATGGCTGGAAACTTTTGTGGGAACTTGAGGGTCTGCTGAATCAAGTGATGAAGGCTTAGATCTGGATGTGTTGAGTTAGTATAGGGCTGGGATGTTGATCTGTGAGTGCCTTGGGTGGGGCCTGGATGAGGCTGGTTGACCTATTTGGAAATGTCTTTTGTGTGAAATGTATCATTGGGCATGTGGTGGTATTATTGATATGAGAAAATGCTAAGTAACTGATTTACTATCTGAAAAGGAATTTACTATCGGGGAAAGGGAGGGAGGAAGAGACTGAACATAAACTGCACCTATGGATGAGGACAATGGGGGATGGGGCGAGGCGGAGGGTGGGGTGGGAACCTGGTGGAGGGGGGAAGAAATGAGGAACCTTTGTAACAATATGAACAATAAAGATTGATTTTAATAAATAAATAAATAAATAAATCAACAAAGAAGAGAGAGAACTACATAAACAGACATCCTGAGAAGAGAGACCATGGGGAGACAAAGAAACAGCCACATATGAAAGAAAAGCAGGCATTACCAGAAAAGGAAGTAAACAAATTAGAGGCAAGCAACCTATCAAAGAAAGAATTCAGAGAAATGGTCACAAGGTGGCTGAAAAGAATGGAAGACAAACTTGACAATATGAGTAAGAACCAAGAAGAACTAAAGGAGAAACAAAGAGAAATGAAAAAATAACATCAATGCAGTAAAGAACCCAACAGAAAGCATCAAGAGTAGAGAGAGGAAGCAGAGGACTGCATAAGTGAGCTAGAAGACAAGATGGGAAAAAATACCCAAGTA